GTGTGTGTGTGTGTGTGTGTGTGTAGAGAGAGAGAGGAATATGGGCATGACCATATCTGCATATGAGACCCACGGTAAAAACACGTACACATATAGCAACACTGACAACAACGACAACACCAACAATAACAACAAATACGCCCGTAGGACTGAATACATGCACAATTTATAAAAACAGCAACAAGGAAGGAGGCTTATTTTGTTTTCACGCACAAAACGTTGAAAGTCCATTTCGATGACTTGTTTTTGGGGGAGACCAGGGTTGGTTGTAACACGTCTCTTGGATCAGAAGCTTGTAGGACTCCGATACTAATGGTTCATTTTTACTGTTCAGGTCCAGAATAAATGTTTGGTTGATGCTAATCTTCCACATGAAGGTTATAAATGCAAACTGCAATAAGCGCCTCATGTTGTGCAGCTATGATAATGTGTTTGTTTCCGCCCGGAGCAGGAAATGACAATGTGGAAGGAAAATAGATAATTTAAATGCAGTGTTGGTTAATGGAGCCGATGTGGAGTCACTGCAGCATCTCACCACGTCGTTGTGTCTATGATCAATAGTTTGCACAGAGAAAATGTCCAGAATCAATAACTGAACTCTTGCTTGAAGCTGCACGTCTTCATATTTTCCATTTTTGACACTTCTCCTGTCACAACTTTGGCTTCTGTCCCTCACGAAGGAGCCCTCAGTGGATTCATCACCTCCGAAACGTGTTCATCACATGTGGAAGACCATTACAAATGGGAAAATGTCACATTCAGGCACATGTGGTTAATCACACGTGAGGCAGCGTTTCACATGTGATGAATTGGAATAAAAGGTATTGGCTCTTTTCAGATATTTAACACGGGGAAACTTGCATTTTTGTTTTGAATGGCATTGGAAACAATGAGACTGAAGAACATCATTTGTGTCTCATGGTCCTGAAACATTAAACCAAGCAAACAGATCAGCACAATTGTTTATATTCCTGTTTACAACTGAAACCCATCAACTTTCTTGTCCTTTTTAGGACCATTAATTTGTCATAAAATGTCCGGCTCCTCTTTGTTTTACCAATATTTTGTTGTAATTCCATATAAACGCTCTGCCGCTACCTTTCGGAGACAATACAAATGCAGGTGCTCCGTCATAAGACCACTCATTTATCTTTGATGGCAGCACTGTCTTGTCTGGCACACTAAAAGCTGCTTTTATGAGGACGATAGTTTTAGCATTAAATCATAAAATGCGATTCTTATTTTGGCCGACAGTACAGACAATTTATGTGAACTCAAGTGTGTGTCAAGTATTTCCAGTTAGAACATGTGAGATATACAACCTTATCACAAACAGATGTGTTCTAAAATGGGAGAAGTCTTTGATATCAAACGAGTGGGGTTTTTTTCGTTCAATTTATGGATCTCTGTGTAAATGTTAGCTTTTTATTCTGCGGCGTTATTTACAACAGTCCCGGGTTGATTGACTGTCTTCGTTTTTGTAACATGCGTTTGGAAGAATTCTACAACATGAAAAGGTCAACAGACGCTGATGGGAGTAATGTTTTTTTTTTAGTTTTTTTTTTTTTTTTTTTAAGTGTTACAACACATCTCGGTCTTCCCGACAGAGTTTCCACGGCAATTCTCCAAGGCAGCCCCACAATAATCCTCTGTAGCGGCTAATCGTGCCAGTTTAAAGGGCATCTTGGAGCAGAGCGTTGTCTTTTATCAGCTACAACCTCAACACCTCCTCGCCTATCATGGAGAAAAAAAGAAGAGAAGAAGGAAAAAAACGACCCCGGCCTTCCCCTCTCAATCCATCATTCATTTATGCTCCTCCTCTCCCGGATCATCAGCTTCTTCATCTTCATCCGTCTGTTCTGGAACCAGATTTTGACCTGTCTCTCTGTTAGATTTAAGAGTCCCGCCACCTCCAGGCGCCGGTCCCTGGTCAGGTACATGTTGTAGAGGAACTCCTTCTCCAGCTCCAGGGTCTGGTGTTTGGTGTAGGGACACCGCTTCTTCCGGGTCGACTTAGCGTGGATCCAGCTGGCTGATGGGTTTTCTGCAGGGGGGAAGAGACAGGGTGGCAAAGATGGTCACGCAAACTACACACATGCAGTGTGATCACTTCCTGTAGGCCTTGTGTGTGTGTGTGTGTGTGTGTGTGTCTCCATAGTACACTGTGCATATTGTAACATATAGTATAATTTATTCTTTGCAGTAGTCTACACACAAAATCTAGAATCTATACTTTCATTTAGCTTAATATACAAATATCCTTGTTGCTCATTGGTCTGACATACTTAGGTTTGTTTGGGTGTGTGTACTTTTGCGTACTTATGTGTGTGAGAATCTGGGACTGATAAGGCGTGTGTGTGTGTGTGTGTGTGTGTGTGTGTGTGTGT